CATACTTTTTCCAAGGTTTCCAACATGGCGGCGTTCTATTTTTCAAGGTTGAACGGTCTGCACGTGGCAATTATGGGCGTTCCCATATAATTACATTACAACTATTGTTGTCGTCAACTCTCTTCGCAATTCGTGCCCCTTCTACTTCTACTTCTGCAGCGACGAAAAAATTACAAAATCTCCAAGCTTTCAAGTTTATTATTCATGTGACCGTTGACTAAATTCTACTTTACGATGCACACAATGTACAAGTTGTGTCCTAGGGCTGCCATACCAATGGATACAATTCAAGCGTGACAAAAATGCGGCAGGAACTCTGTTAGCCCACTCGGGAAAAATGCAGAGACCCTTCTAGCCCACAAGGCCTTCTTGGACAGTCTGAAAGACGTCTTGAAGGAATGATAGGACATGCTGGACGAATGGGAAGAAGATCTAAGACTAGACGGGAGTAGGAAGTCTGAGTCGGATGCGTCTCCGGTCTTCGCTCTTTGGGGTACTGTGCGAAACGCCTTCACCTTTAACAGGTAGTTTTTGTACGTGTGTACATTATAGACAGGATTCTTAATGTTGGGGTCAATGGGCAAATAATCTAAGGGACCACCAAAAATGTCCAGGTGGTCCTTATGCGTATAGGTTTGACTGTATAAGCATAACATGTCTCAGTTCAATTGATTCTTATTAATTAAGAATTAATCTTGATTATGTCTAGCTCTTTAGTACATTTAGACAGAAGGTTTGCCAATTATATTAGTATGACTTACTATATATTGTCTAGATGTTTTGTTTAGGTTCAAAACTTTCATAGACGACTGATAATTTTTAAAAAGCCAAGCTTTGCAAAAAGTATCGTTCTGATACTCTTCGTTGTTTACTTTCTTTAACAAGCTTGTTCTAGATATTTTATTTACAGAGGTTTTGTCCAAAATGGTTCAAATTTTACTTCCGAATACGAAAAAAAAGAAGTGTGCAATGCATATCTAACAGCTTTACGCAAACTTGTTCGTGACTAGCTTCATCAAAATTTGTTTTTTTAAGTACTTCTGTTTTGACAAAGCTTCCCCCACCCCCTTCTCATACCATTAGCCAAACAGCATGTCTTTTTAAACACCCTGTCAGTAAACCGGTTTGTCAAGATGATTAGCTGCCCTTTGACTTTTCTGGGCTTAACCTTTTGCCAGCCAACCGTGCAGCCTCAATTATAAACCCTGGGTAAGAAGATAAACATACAGTGTACTTTCAATCTAACTCCAACAACACAGAATGTGTGGATGGGTGGAAAGTTTAGTGTTTCCTTAACGTTCTCTATGACATCTTTGCTTTTATCTCACGTCTGTCGCACGATTGTCGTACGATTTTGATGATGTCGTAGGGTTTCCAAGCAGGTTGTGGCAGAACCAGCCACCGACAAGGATACATCTAAGCAGCCTTTTTGGTAACAAGACAGCTGAATGCCGTACGATACATTCACGACTGTCCCACGAATGTCCTCCGTTTGCCCCACGACCATCGTACGAAATGTAACAGGCCAACATGCATTGCCAACGCTCATACTTCTACCCGGTACCTACCCTAAGACAGACATCTTAAACAAAAAGTGAATTTTAAGAGATCTACTAATGCTGCAGCTTCCTTGATCCCTGAAACATGCACACTTTCAGAAATCCAGGTGTTCAAGATATTCTAGAGAAAGCCTCAAGAACACTACGGTGGTCTTTGTGTATGAGAGGTTACGTTAGTTCACTTATCATTGAAACAATCTACCTTGCACAAACATTATAGAGAGAAATAGATAAACTAGCATTGTCTACTGTCAGTCTCTGTTCCTTATTCTACAGAAAAGCTTGTTTGGAGCAAAGTTTTTTCAGAGGGAACGCCCCCCTTTAAAGGTCAAACAATGGCTGATTTCTTCGTGCTTTGATGGTCTATTTGCCTCCGAGTAATGAGGTGGTTCGTCCACATAGTAGTCCTCTTACTCACATGTCAGTGATTCTGTTTGTTACCACCTACAAGCACACCTGTTTTTTTCTATTGTACTGTCTAGAGAAGGGTATAGGTTTAGGAGATATTCGCTCTACGAGCTAAGTGTTCTTTGGATACAAATTCGCTCTTTTTCGGTTCTGTTTGAGTGCTTCTTGTATATTTACTTTTTGACACCAGAGAATAAGCATATTAACTAGTAGCTTCGTTTTACAGTAAATGGAAACTATATCAGGATATCTTATTGATGAAAAGGGCTTCAAAGAAAAAGACTTTACCATAAACCACGATCGACACATGCAATTTACCCATCATCCATTTTTGGTGCTGTTGGTCGAAGGGTCGGGCCACCGCGGTACGAGGTGAAGTTTTAAACAATGAAAGAAGACCTTTATTATGTGGGGTATGCATTTCTAATATGGACCACCATGGTTTTTTACAACACAAAATGACCTTATGGCATGATCAGTGTGTTCTTTGGGAGTTAAATTTAACACTGTAAAAGGGAACGTTTTGTTCAAATGGTTTAAACACGGCATAGGAGGGTCTTTGTTTTGTTTTGACCCTCATATTTTACAGTGTCCCTGGGTAGGCATTAGCGCAAAAAGGGCGTCAAATTCTGCAGTAAATAAGAAGAGACACCTTTACTTGAGCCTAAATGATAGACATTTGTTGGAGGAAGTGTTGAAAATGTGGGTTTGACCTCGCATAGACAAGGAACACACCTATAAGCCTAGTTTTATAGACAACACTGAAAATAAGTTTAAACTTTCAGTTCTCTGTGATCTTTACCTATCCTAACTTAATTCCTTACACTTATTGCTACCGCTGACTAAACATCATCATTTTACACATTTTTTGTATAAAAATCGAGAAAAAGTGAGCACATAAGGCATATCTGCTTGCAAAAACACGTTGTGACAAAAATTGCTAACCTTAGCACAAAATTACAGTGCAATTTGCAACAAATACCTACTATACATGATAATGGTGGCCATTTAAAAATTTAAAACCCAAAGACTACATCCCCGCACTTTTGGGACTGCTACAGCACACCATAGCTGTCTAATGTTTAAGGAATTGAAGAGTTAGCAATCGTAGAGTCTCGGTTCTGATTTGAGCACCGTACAGACCCGCTACGGAGCCGGGAATCGAACCCCGGACCGTAGCGGCTTCAAAAGATATATTCCTTAGCCTGATTGAGTGTAAAAGCTTGCCAAGATGCCGCTTTGTACAAGGTGTTTGCGAAAAGGTCTTTCTGGAAAGTTCGGCTACAGCTTGGATAGATCACCTGAAAGAGGGCCACTGACTGTCTATTGTCTACAAAGAAGGTAAAATACACCGTCACAGGTGTTCTCTTTGTGTATATGTGGTATATTCCCGTGTGAACATGTCAATGCAATATAGAATGCATTAGAACCGACTAAATGTACGGTAATTTTATAGGTACTTCTGTTTTTTCATAAAGAAAGCTTAGGGGTTGTGTTAATGTATGTACAGTTGTACAATTGAACAGATGTATAGGTTTTTCTAAGCATACATATATATAAGCTGATTTTGACAAATAGAACACGCTTTATTTCATGACAGTAGTAGTGAAATGATATGTTTTGAATTCCATCTGTCTCAATTAACTCTCCCAGGAGACAAGCAAATCTATCTTCTTGTGAATAACCCCTGTTTCAATATTTAATTACGGCTTGTGCCTAGGCGAGGGTGTGGGCAAATCCTATGGGAGGACTGGCTATGTTTTCTCACGTGCATGTCGCCGTATTTAGTATCACAACGCAAAGCGTGGTCACTGGTGTGGTAGCATTGTATGGCTTCTAAGATCCGAAGTGCTAGTGATGAGTTGCAGAAAAAGAAGCACTTAAGTAATCTAAAATACAGTGTATGCAAGACCCCCCACCCAAGTTTACTGTCTGTTATGTTTCCTTCCATATACTAGTGTAATGTACATTTCTGAGAGTCAGCCGCTACAAAATACCAAATAACAACCCCCTTTCCACTACTAAGCAACCGCTGAGATTTAACAGATCCTTAAATTTCGTTCAAGTTTTCCTAATATTTTAGTGTTTTTGTTGTCTTTTTCAACAATACTTGTTTTTCTCGTGCACCATTCCTAAAATCAATGGTCACACATGCAATCAAATTTTCTTGACGCAATGTCTTGTGAAAAGTTGGTTTTAGACATAACTAAAATAGACAATACCATAGTCTTCTAGTCTATAATATAATGAACAACCCATATAGCTATGCTTGTTTCTTATACCATAGTACAATGAAAGTACAATGAAAGAAAATGCAAAACAAAAGTCCAATGTCTTTTCCCCCAGAGTAAATGGCGAAGCCATAGAAACCATTACCCTCTATAGATACAATGTCTGATATGACGATAGTCTCCAAAAGCACTATAGTACAACTGGTTATACAACAATATCCAACGGCGTATGGAAATAGTCTTGCACAGACAACAACATTCGCTGCAATCTCAACTTGTCATCGTAGCAAAATGGCTTCGCAAATATCCAACCATAAACCTATGTCTCGTAGGTCGAGCCAGATATTTTCTATTGGCAACGTAGTTTATTTCTGCAACATGACAATTGTTGCTGTATGTAAGGAGATATTTCGTATTCTTTTCGGAAAGCGGTAAGTATTGCAGATGGTAGAATTTAGCTTTGTTGATGTTTAACAAAGGCAAGCTCATTTGGATAAAATTGTTTCGAACAGACTACAATACTTACTTCAAGCACGCCCAGGCATAACATGGTTTCCCAAGTAGCTTGCCATAAAGCTTGCGAATTGATTCAAGCATTTCTTACTAGCTTCATTATTGTACTGTACCTTTGCTACTTGGTCCTTAAAATGCTTGTTGACGTGATCCTTCGCCTGATTTTTGGACAGGGGTAGGTATTCTGATGGTACAATGCGATTACATGTTTCTAAGTACGGATATATATGGCTTCCTCGTAGTACGATGGCAAGACCAACTCTCTTTTTCTTTCTGTTTCTCAATGTAGGCTGGACAATGCTGACCAGATCATCAACGACCTAGAAGTGGAACTGAAGACCACTCGGAAGGTAAAAATGATATATTTTAATTAAAACGTCTACTTATGTCGATTGTTAACGCCAACATACGTAACCTAGGTTGTGTTCATGACATGGTGATGCAAACATGTACATTTATGTAGATGGTTTTTCCTTCTATTTTATCACAGTCTAGTATTTTTATCCTTATTCTTAGAAGTAATTTGGGAACTTGCCGTACTTTGTACCCATTTTTTTCAAGTAATGGTAGTGAGTATGCTCACAACAGGGCCAAAATACCACTTTTCGACACTGAACTAAGTCAGTGGGAGGTATATGTGCCTATGGCGGTGAACGTCATGGGTTGTATTCGGTTAGAAACACCTTTCACTCCGAGAGTTATATAGTTTGTATTCCGAGGAGAGAAGCAGTGGTTGTCAAAGGACTTAGAGACTGTTGATTAGACAGTTTCTTTGATTGATTCATGATTGATTTTGATTGGTTGGTTCATTGATTGATTGATTGATTGATTGATTGATTGATTGATTGATTGATTGATTGATTGATTGATTGATTGATTCCTCAGGAACTGGACGATGCCTCTCTCGTCAGGCTTGACCTGGAGAGTAAGTTGGAGATCGCCAAGTCTGAGATCACCTTCCTTAACGAGTTCCACGAGCAGGTAAGAACTTTACCTGTCGTCTTCAAGACATTTCTCAACGATCAATCCCAGTCTTAAATAGTCTTCTAATAAGAACTGATTAGATAATACTGTAGTACTCAAAACTTATTTTATATACCATGGCTTTGAGAATTAAACAACAATGTTGATAATCATGATTTTTCATTGTGTATTATTAACATAAGACAATATTGCGTCAACGGTACATCACCTTCTAAGATGTTGTTTACAATCTCGCTTCGCTCACTCGGTGGTTTATTCAATGGTTATAGGAACCGATCACACTTCATGGAGGATCATTAACCTTAAATGTTGTTTACTATATGTTCCTATATGTTGTTTACAGCCAAGATATGTCAACATTGAACAGAATCTTTTGTGCTTTTGCCTTCAGCGGTTTCGTAGTCATACTATATCTTTTCTACTTCTGTCCTTAGCAAATCCGGGAGCTGCAGGAGCAGCTGGCGCAGCTGCGGAATGTTGGAGCAGGTGGCGGCGGCAAGGGCGGGCAGCTGGCCATCGCTGGCGGAGGCGGCGGAGGAGGCTTCGACTACGCGGACCTGCTGGAGACCATGCGGGAAGAGTACGAGGCTCTGATGGCCAAGAACAAGGCCGACGCCGAGAGATATGCTCAGAGCCAGGTAAGAAGATCCTTAAGTCTTGCGTACATAATACACAGGATGAAAGAAGTGTGGTATAGCCTGGTGGACAACAACTGTTGATAGACGATAGCACATCTCATACAGCACGGGGGTGTCGGATTATTCTATTTAATACCTGTAAATACAGATGCGAATAAAACAACACATCATCTGGACCCTAATAACTAACCATACATAGAAAATCAAAGAAATCCGTCTAACCCATGGTGAGTTACAGCTGCGAACACACAAGCATGACCGAAAATGGTGCCTTCCCGTGGAAGAATATCTCCTTTTGTAGGTAACAAAGAGCGGATGTTGAACTTATTCTAATTCCTCCATGTACAGATCCAGGAGGTGAAGAAGGGTGCAGGAGAGACCAACGCTGCACTAGACATGTCCAAGCAGGAGTTGAATGAGTACCGTTCCAAGTGTCGCAGTCTGGAAATGCAGATCGAACAGCTGAAGGCTAGGGTAAGAACGTTCGATAAACCTACCATGTTACATAATATAATATTAACTGGAAGAGACCTTCCTACTTGGGTGAAATAATCTAAATCTACTCTACCTTTCTCTATTCTACTCTACCTTACTCTACTCTACTTTACCCTACTCTACTCTACTCTACTCTACTCTACTCTACTCTACTCTACTCTACTCTACTCTACTCTACTCTACTCTACTCTACCTTACTATACTCTTCTGTACTCGATTCTAAACTTTTCTACTTTGTTCTACTCTACTCTGCACTTCTATACTTTGTTCTAGCTCTACTCTACTCTACTCTTAAAGCCTGCGTAAGGGTCTGACTTGACATCCTCTGAACTTGTTCCCCAGATTGCCATGTTGGAGAAGCAGGCGGTTGAGGTGGAGGAGCGACACGAACGCGAGATCGCTACCAAGGACGAGAGGATCGCCTCCTTCGAGGCCGTCATCAACGACATGAAGGCCAAGCTGAGCGCCAGCCTGAAGGAGTACCAGGAGCTGATGACCGTCAAGCTGGCCCTCGACATGGAAATCTCCGCCTACCGCAAGCTGCTGGACGGGTGAGTCTCGTAAAGTCACGTTCTAATGCGTCACGTGATCGCAACATCTCGCGTGAGTTCGTACGCGTCAACGCGTGAGTTCATGACGAGTTTCAAATGTGTCACGTGGTTATGACATCTCGCGTGAGTTCGTACGCGTCAACGCCTGAGTTCATGACTAGTTTCAACAACAAGTGCTATCAATCATGGTTTCATTGTACTCAGATTGGATCAAACTTTTTCGTACCTTCAAATTCATCGATAAACATGTAATACTATATACATGAACCATGTGGCCGCTGTCTTCGAGACAACAGATTTGAAATTAAAGGATAAACTAACAAAAACCTTTGTTTTTGCTCTTTCAACAGAATTGGTGACTTTGACATCGCGGGTGGAGAATTCTCCTCTACCTCTATGTCAACGTCGCAAACAACGTCTTCGGCAGGTAAAGGTTGCTTTACTTTTAATATGATTTAAGAGATGGCAATGTCCATCCTTTCCAGATAAAGTTGAGATGACATGACTAAATATAATGGTAATGATAACAATATCTTTATCAATTCTAATCATATGCACAATATTTGAGCCATTCGCTAACATACGTCCGTACCAATTAAAACATCATCGATTAGCTAACGTATACATTGTACGTATGGCCGTACTAATATAAAAATAACCCAACCTAATTTTTCCACTAATCTAATCAACGTACTTGGTGATTTGATAACTTTAGGAGGATTTGGTGGTAAAGGGGGTGCCGGTGGCGCCGGAGGTGGTGCCGGTAAGTAAGATCTAACCAATCAGAGTCTAATAAACAAACTAATCAGTGTGGGGTGTGATCGTCATAATGTTAATGGTGTGTGTTACGTGACATCGAAATCTCTCGAGAGTTTGTGATATTTAAATTTCCTCCCTTAAAGTAAACAATGTCTTTGTATACTAAACTCGTCCTGTATACTTACAGATGTGTTAAAACATACCTACTCACCATATACATGTATTACTAAATCAATTAAAAACTTTGGTAACATCTAGGAGCCGGTTTCGGCGGCGGTGCCGGAAGTGGTGCCGGTGGTAAGTAAAATACTAACCAATCAGAGAGTCTCAGAGATAAACTGATCAGAGTGGGGTATGGTGATCTAAATCACCTCACGAGAGTTTGTGAGATTTCACGTTCCTCAATTAAAGTAAACAACGTCTTTGTACACTAAAATCGTCCTATATACTTACAAATAATTCTGTAATCGTGTAACGAAAATATAACCATTTTCATTTCATTTTATTTATTTATCCAGGTGATACATATCGCCTTCTCGGCGTTTTTCAATGATACCTGGGGGGTAAACCCCAACCACTGACCACATAATATAATTGTCTACTAAACCAATTAAATAACCCAATTTGGTAACCTCTAGGAGCCGGTATCGGCGGCGGTGCCGGTGGTGCCGGTAAGTAAGATACTAACCAATCAGAGATGTCATAGATAAACTGATCAGAGTGGGGCATGGTGTGTCTAAGTAATAATGTTAATGATGCATGTCAAATGACATCGAAATCTCACGAGAGTTTGTGTTGATAGTGTCGGTTTCCTCGAGCTCCTCGGTCGCTGTTGGTGCCTCCCGTGGTGCCACTAGTGCCGCAAGTGTGTCTGGTGAGTACCACAAAAAGCAAGGAAATACGGAAAAAGACAACACAATCAGTAGAAAGGAGGATGGGGAAGGGAAGAAAAAAAGGAGAAAAAGGAGTGGAAAGAAAATGAAAGAACAACAGTCAGCAACGTATGGCTCATGTCTAAAGAAGTTATCCTGATATGAAAATAATTATACCCATGGACTGACAATGCATAGTATAACACAGGCCTGGTATAACAACAGGTGCCATGTTACCTATTATAACTAGGTCAGCAATAGCGCTAGAGCTAGCAAACATGCGTAAGCCTGTACAATAATCTAGCATTATAAAGCAAGTTTAAACTATGATTTCCAACACAAAAAAATGAATTTTCGACTGTGAAACTCAAGCACCTTAGCACAGATAGGCTAATATCATATAAACCTAAAGGCTTTCATTGATTTTGAATCCTTACAGAAGTTATACTGCTTGTATGGTTTCTAATTTTAATGTTTTCTATAACTTCCATAGGTGGAGGCGCGAGCTCAAAGGAGTTGGACGACTTGAGGGCTAAGGTAAGTTTCGTCACGTATTTTCAATTTTTTATATACACATCGTTCATAAATGATCATATCTGTCACAGTTAATCATCAATTGATGTGTTAACAAGCCTAGTCCTTAGAGAGAAGGGCTTTTGAATAATAGATGTGGATGCTTTACCTGCACGGAACGGTCGGGCGCTCCAGGTAATAATAAGGTATGGTAGGACTCACACTACATTAGCTTACTCATTTGCATTCTTCTCTACAGCTGAAGGCGATGGAAGCGGAGAAATCCAAGATGGCGGGTGAGCTGAAGAGCGCGCAACAACAGGTAATTAGCGTATTCTCTCATTTTCTGCGCTATTTCTGTAACGTCATCATTTATGTCATGAAGGATGTGTGACGTCAGGGTCAACAAGCAAAATGGCGTCCACCGAAAACTTGAAAAAACACTAGCTATGTCTGTTATTAGATATCATATCTTAGTTGTGTTTGTGATTCATGTATGTTGGTGTAATTATTCATACTCAGTTGGGTAGGATCCCAATGATATATTTGAAATAGGTACGGTACGCAAAGCTATCTTACTACCATGGACATTACTGTGCGTGTTCATTTGCGCCCAGTTTCAGTTTCAGTTTATTTATTTAACCAGAAGATACACTCAGGTCATTTGACCTGTTTTTCAGGTAGATCTGGGTACAATAAAAATGCAGAAACAATACAATGATAACAACACAGTACATAGCACATAATAGCCATACAGCAGTACAAATACAATATAATTACAATGAGTTTTTGAAGGCCGTTACAGTTCGGAGCTTTCTCTGTTCTATTGTGAGCTGGTTCCACAGCACTGGACCCTGGTACTGCAGGCTCCCTTTGTATGTGTTAATGTTTGCCGGTGGAACAACCAGCCCATGTTTTTTTTTCATTGAGTAATAATTTTTGTAATAGAATATATTCTTGTTTCTATTGCATACCGAAGATCAAGAGAAAGGTAATTTAATACAGTTCAATGACCACCAATATCACCTATTTGTACCATGCACCAACATTTTTGAACTTATGATATCATATTACACCTATTGCACTTGCAAATATTCACCGTTGGTGTTGTGAATCATATCACGATCTATATTTTGATAACACAACGGTGTAGCAATGCATGGATAGTGATACTAATACAATGTATGTATATACTGTTCTGGTGTATGCAAGACAAGACTACATGTATACTATACGAGAAATGTATTGTTTGCCAGGACGCTATTACACGTGTACGCAATAGGTCTTGTCTATCTTTTATATCATGTACAGACGTGTTTTGTTTATGTCTCAGATGCCTTCAGTTTTGAGATATTACCCATAATGCTTCGGACTGCACATGCGCTTTTTATACAGTAGATCTCATTGTTATTACTTATTATTCATAAGAGTTATCAATTATTATTTATCAGAGCTCGGCTGCAGCCGCGAGCTCTCAGCAGACCGCCAAGCTGGAGGGAGAACTGAAGGGGAAGGACAACCAGATTCGCGACTTGCAGGGTAAAACTTTTAGCTATTATCATCAATGTCGCTGCTGCATACGTTATCTTTAAGTATAGACACTTGTAAAGTGGTGAAAATGATGGTGGTCATGATGATAGCCACTTGGGTTTGAACGAAAACTTTCACTTGGGTTTGAAGGAAAACTTTCAATTCATGATGTTGTTACATCATGAATTACTGAACGAAAACTTTCAATTCATGATGTTGTTACATCATGAATTACTGAACGAAAACTTTCAATTCATGATGTTGTTACAACATGAATTACTGAACGAAAACTTTCAATTCATGATGTATGTTGTTACAACATCATGAATTACTGAACGAAAACTTTCAATTCATGATGTTGTAACAACATCATGAATTGAACGTTTTAGTTCAGTAATTCTTCGTGGTCACTCACTCGCTGATTATTCATAAGTTCAACAGGATGTGCCATTTGCTTCATCTGTGGTCACTACACAATTGTGTAAAGCAAGAAGTCTTACAACTATAGACAAACTAGTGTACCTTAAACTTCTGTCCTCGGACTAAATTGGCATATCCATCTATATATGTACATGCATAACATGTATCCAATAGACTTGAAAACAACTCAAAGTGTAGATATTTTTATCAACAGTGGACTTGAACATGGACATGAAATATTTTGTATGTTGATTTCGAGCTAGAATATTCGATTTGTAAAGGAAATGTACCATCTTACTACAGAGTTTGTTTTTCCTCAATATCGATGTTGAGGAAGGAGCCTTTCATTCATAGTCATACAAATACTGGCTCCACGTTTATACTATTCCTCTCATTCATGTAATATTGAACCGAAATCAGAACGAACCTTTGATCCTGTACCTTACAGCTGAGCTGGACAGGCTGCGTGCACAGCTGCAGCAGGCGTCTCAGCAGCAGAGCGCCGCCATGGACGCCAAGATCGGGCAGATGGAGGGCGAGCTCGGGTCTCTACGGGGAGAGCTGTCCGCCAAGGCTAAGGAGTACCAGGTAGGTAGACTGTCATGAAACTTCAGCTGTGTTGGTAGTTACATGCTTGAAGTTAAAACTTTTGATCCAACGCAAAGGGAAACTTGGTCATGTGATAGATCGGGCCCGAGGGTTTTATAACTAAGGCTACTGACTAGCTACGTTAGTCTACTACTTTGAAACTTTTGAATACCACATAGCAGACAAAAGTCTGAATTGCGTCAGTATTTACAAACCTTTGTGCTCGTTTCTACAAATCTACACATGAATTCAGAGCTATATATGACCTATATTTCTAATACTAGTACACTACGTAGTATACAGTACGTACACAAATATACCGGTACCCCCCACCCACCCACTCACAACCACCAACAACAACAAAGAAAAGAGTAGCGATAATCATGGAACACCGAAGAAGAAACTCAAGTTTGAAAGCTTACTGTAGTAAGATAATATAGTATTTGATATTTATCTGAGGAAACGGTGCCTTAGTTACAAAGTTTGACGAAGAAATGACAGAATTTGAGAGCACTTACCCTGAGACAGCAAACGATAACTGGCGACCATCTTGGACCCGTGACCTCTGACCTTTGGAGACCTGATGATACACACGCATTCGCAAATCAACTGCTAACCTTCATTGACTGCTAACCTCTGACCCACGGAGACCTGATAATACACATGCATTCGCAAATCTAACGCTAACCTTCATTGCAATTTGAATGTCCCAACATTTCATGCCCAAGCATACGTTTCAAACCGCATTTTCTTCCCCCTGCCCTTCCAATGGCAGCTGTTTATCAAGGTACAAGTCGTAGTAACGAGAGCTTCGCTTCAAACGCATGCTTGCTATAGAATGATGTCAACTTGTAGGGATATTACAATGTTGCAAGGTAGTCTACATCATCTCTATACCTGAATATGAGGCTTAAAGCATGCAGCTTGAACACCACACACGCTACAGATAGCTGGCAGTAGTATTATGAAGCTCGCTTTGCGATGTGTCACATGTGTATGTCGTGCATAATACAAAGTACTCATTTTACACTAGTTTTTGGACACAGTTTTTTAAGAAATACTTTCTCTGTACTTCTTTTGTTATCTGCCTGCTTCATGATCACCAAACGCTTTGACATACAAATGATTGATATAACTTCAGGGTACGGAAGTATTACTTTAGGTGGTCGAGCTGTGAGTTTGTGTACATGTTTGTCGTAAAGAGCAGGTTGACAGCAAGTGGGCAGGGAAAGATATACATACACAGTGACTTGAGGTCAAAAGGTTAGGCACAGGAAATGGAGATAAACTCACGAAGGCCACGAAACCCAGAATATTTCCCGGAAATCTAAAATTCCCCCCATTTCTTGTCCCGTACCGTAGGACCTGCTGAACGCTAAGCTGATGCTGGAGAAGACTCTCCGTGAGGCGGAGGAGAGGCACAGGATGGAGCTACAGAGCCGGGATGATGCCCTGCGTGACGTAAGTATCTATCTTGTTATCACGTGTAGCCCATGGTCAGCCTGTGCTAGTGGTTTAAGTGAGCCTGCTTCTTGATCTAGTCTCCGTTTGGAAGTTTAAATCCTGGCTGTTGTCGCTCACCCAACTTGCACGCCACTGGAAAGAGTCGCAGTCCTTAGGTTTGGATATTGAACCGTGGTCTGTTCATTTTGATTGTCGAAAAAAAGCAAGGAAAAGATTGCAATGAACCTGTATATACTGTGAAGTAAAGTTGTGAACTATTTCTTATTCCTCCCCATGCTTACTGGCTTCAGTACCGGAGAAAGGTAATTCGTGAATTGGTTCACTTGCTTGCCATTTTGTGCTACATTGCCTGAGTATCCGTTTGCCAGTGTATCCGTAGTTACTCGAATACAGTAGTCACAGGAAGTGAAGGGAAATGATGTAACCGCAGAATGACAGGAAGGTAGAATCGTAGGAAAAAATGGAGGTCATAAAACTAAATGCTACGGTAGAGGAACTCGAGGACTCAGTATGTACTCACAGGAAATGAGTGGGAAATGATGTAGCCGCAGACTGACAGGAAGGTCACATATGTAGGTCAAAATGGAGGTCATAAAAGTACGGTTGAGGTACTCGAGGACTGCATGTTCATTATGGTGACCTTAGTGCACAGAATCAGTGAAATAATTCAAAATAATTAATAGTATAAGAACTCCACATGAACTCTATGTACTCTGCGAAGGTATGAAATGTTTGACTTCTTTTTTTTTCAGCTGGAGAGGGAGAAAAATGAGCAGATCGCCCGTCTGGAGCTGGACCTGAGGGAGCTCCGTGCAGAGATGGACGCCAAGCTGGCCAACTACAACGACCTGATGAACGCCAAGCTGGCCCTGGAGAAGACACTGAGGGAGACAGAGGACAGGTGGGCAATGCAAATCCAACTGTACGTTCATGAATGAATGATGACATATTTATTGTACATTTTGTGCCGTAAGCACTAGCACTAGCCTAACTAGGATAGCACTCAGCCTACGTAAGCACAGATCACAACAAATAGATGTTTACACACATCAAGATTTGCACAGGTCACAGTGAAATCATGTTCGCAAACAAGATTATAAACAGCTGCATTTGTGTTACCTTACAGTGTGTTTTTTCCGTAGCCAAAGGAGCACAGTATAAGTGGCACGTACCTTGCACACAAGTAGATGTCATCTTTGTGTTTTTGTGCAGTATTTGTCCACTTCTAAGTTTTACTAAATCATGGTGAATTGCTTGAGCACACTTGATGATGATACCTTTAAAAGTATAAACACATATGTTTAAGATATATTTTCCCACGAACACAAATTTAGTATCTTCTTTATCATCACCAATCATACACTTGATCATAGCTGTCACCCATATGTTAGCCTGAATACCAGCAATTTCCAGGCTCGCGCCCGGTGCGAAGTTTACTACTTATACTGTGTAACTGGCGTAAGCTTAACAAGGCTGGTACCCAGGCTATTTCCATATGTACATGTACTTAAAATTGAACATGCATTCGGTTTTTACACTACTGGCTTCTCTTGGAGTTGACTACGACCCGGGAAGCACTTAGGAGGACGCTATTTTCAACGGAGCAAAGGTAACTTCACAAAAGGGTAACACCAAGACCAACACCACTTCTCTTTCTAAACTGTCACATATTCAGAACATTCTCCCCGAACACAAGTCGACTAGGGTTGACCGAAGTTCAGTCTGAGCAGATTTAGGCCACGCCTACCTTTCTATACGATTCGAATTGCAGTTAAATGTCAGTCAAATGTGACTGCCAACCACGCCCCGACTTACTCCCGAAGACCAACCAACCATGGCGAAACCTACCGTCTGTACCTGAATGTTTTAAACATTACGATACTTTCGACTGGCGCTGCCGAACAGTAGCCGACCTGCCGAACACCAGCCGACCTTGCTCCCGATGGTTGGGGGGAGTTCGGCTAGTGTACGGGAGACCATAGTCGGCTATGTGTGACAGAGGCTTAGAACTACGACAACTAGGCATTAGTAAACTCACCAACTCAGTGCCCTCTGTCCTTAGATGGTTCGGAAACAAGAAGTCAATGTTGCAAAGCAAATAGAAGCTTCTCACAACAGACTGGTCTTTAGGTTTAATCGTGTGTGACCGCCAGCGCGTGAGCTGAATACTGTGTGTACGGGAGACCTCGGGACAGTCATCCGTCAACACAGGTCTGACAGTAGCGGTTACTGCTGACACTAGTGCTTTATCCAGACATGATCCGTCTTTTTTGTCCACACAGGACAACAGAAAGAATGGAAAGAACTTTCAAAAGCCTTTGGCATTAGACTTAAGGGATTCCTCATTCGTCGACACATGATTATGTATTTGAGAGATATTTAGCAGCTTTAAAAGGGAGTATGTAGCAAGGCTACAGATGCCCTGGAGGAACGTCCGATAATCTGGTACATTCAGTCCTTGATCTACGTTTCAAAAGTAGGGGATGGTCCAGCGTACTGCAAATAAGTGTGAAAACATCTAACTTAAGTCTTTAATACTGGAAGAGAGTGGTGCAGAAGACTTGTATGGTATTATGCGTCTTTTGAAAACAGTTTAAGTATTGTATGTCTACAGATATAGGTCCTTCACGTATAAGTAGACATTCCTCTAGTTAGCTCTGTCGACGCCATTTTGAGAGATGGCCTTTCCAGGCACACGTAATACTATTTGTGAGGGCAGATTGTCTCTTTCAAAAACGTTCGAAATGTCACATAAGACAAACGCCAGACAAAACTGGAGTGAAGCTATCATTTGTTGGCCATCTTGGCTTTCTGACAGAGGTTCAAGATCAGCCCAAGAGTCATTTGTAATCGCGTCGTCTGGAACAGTTGGTCCAGTCACCAAAACTCGCTCAAACGTGACCCAGAAAACGTAGCCGATGTGTTATGCATGCAGCGAACGAAGCGCAGGACCACTTTCTACAAGGGAGTCCACGGAGTTCGAACAATGCCATTTGATACGGTACATTATTCAGACGCCCCGTAAAAAGAAAACCCTTTGCGGAGTTTCGGCTTCTTAGTGCCTGGCTGTGACTTCGCGAAGTCGCCATGGCTTCACAGACAGAAGAAACTGCCACGGATGACAGTTTGGAAGAAAGCAACACCGACAAGCAAGAGAATGTACCAGAAAAGGCTTCGGAAGAAATCATCAGTGAGAAGGAAGTGGTGAAATCAGAGAAGGCTTCTGATGAAAACATCAACGAGAAGGCTTCAGAAGAGAGCATTGTTGACAACCAAGAAGACGTCAAGACAGAGAAAATTCTTCCAGAGAATGAGAAAGATGCCACAGAGAACGCAGTACCAGACGAACCGACCGTAGTTAACGGGAGCGTCGCGGGCGGGACCGTGAACGGGAACGGCGGGCTCTCTGGACCCTCTACACCCGATGTCGCGTCCAACCACACCGAGGGTGACCCCGACGAAATCGTCCAAGAATGTCCTAAATGCAAAATGTACTTGTACAGTTCCAGTTTGTAATAATAACATTGCCATTCGAGCTAGTCCTAACTGTATGTTTGTCTGTATGCTTGATTAGGATCTTCATTAGTGTAAATTTTACACTATTCTTCCTGGAGGTCGTAGTGAATCACCAGAAAGTAGTATTTGTACCATTGCACTCATGGACATGCCCTTACTCATTTTGGAAATGTTTTAAAACTTGCGTGGGGTGTGGCTCTCCCCAAACATGGGACCTCCATTTTATGTCCTATCCAAGGGACGTCCCCAACCAAAGCTAGGTACTCTTTGGACCAAACACCCAACCGTCTAGTCGAACGTATGTTGTGTTGAAGAATGCGCTTTCTTAGATGTGTATACTTCAATGCTATACATAGTCGCACTTTATCGATAAGTATCTACACTACAAGAATCTAATCCTTAACGTAGAGGTACCATTTTCAACTCGAGTGTGAAGTAACACAACTTTAAGCAGGTTTAAGACGTGCTGAAAGATCAACTGTTATGTAGTACTAAATGTTGTTTTCTATTCTGAAGGTACCAGAACGAGCTGCGGGACTCCAAAGCCATGATCTCTCAGCTGGAGGTCCAGGCGAGCAGCGCGTCGGCGGCGGCGGGGCTGGAGGATGAGCTGGCCCGCCTGCGTGCTCAGTTCGAGGCCTGCAAGAACGAGCGCGACCAGTGCTTCCTGGACCGCGACAGCCTCAGGGCCCAGTAAGTACCAACTGAAAACATCGCATGATAGTTTAAAAGTTTATTTGCGAGTTAGTTCCTGAAAACTTTGTGACTATTGGGAACATATTATGTCGTAGAGGTATACATACAGGCAACATACATGTGACAAGCATAGTGCTCATAAAATCTGGTTTTGCCACCCTGAAATTGCATTGGATGCCTTTAAGAATCCAATGGTGACTGTAGTCACTTTCGTAAAGTCTCTTGATCAGTTAATCTGATCACTTTAGACATTTTTGACCGAACATAAATTTTACATCTGAAAACAAAAGCAGGAGGCTAGGAAAATTTCTTACCATCTTACGAAGTTTAAGTGGGAATGCACATGGTTTGTTTACTCTGTTGTTTCATTAGCTATGGGTTAAGTTCTGACAATTGTGTTGTTTTGTGTATTGCCTTTAGGGTTGATGCCGCCGCATCTGCTGGTAAGTGTTCTGACAATATAGTCTTATATTGCATGTATTTTAATATCTTTTGCTAATGAAGCACTGATTAACAATATCATCATGTTAAAGACCAACGCCATGATGTTTTGGTTGTGCACTTAGTGTTATACATAAACTTTATTGCACAAAGTTATTACATATTTTGAATGTTACGAAGCATGAAGCATGCATTATGAATATGAAATGAATGTCAATATATCCCCGCTGCATTACAAGGAAGGAGACTCAATCGTACGTAATTAGGGTCCTTCTATACTTATACTTCTTCTTTGTCTTAATTTCATGTAAAAGCGTTGCTTGTTATGCATGCTGAAGTGCTCGTTTTGACCAATGCAACTGTGTGTTAATGTCTTCACATAGTTTTTATGTCAGAGAGCACTGCGCTTTGCTTTTTAAGACATTCTTCTTCAAGCAATAAAATGCCTTTCTTCTTAAAGCCTCTTATGCCTTATACAAGGCATAGTAACATAATGCTTTGTTTACAACAGAACATGTTTGGTGCCTTTTACATCGGTGCTAATGCATGTTACTAAGTGTGTTAAGAGTGTTGGTGCTTTTGGGTGCTATACAAACACGTTATAACGCTAAATAAACATATAACACAGTATATGCTTGCTTGGACTCTCACACATACGGTGCCCGGTGGTGCTTCTAAAAGGATACCCATTTTGGGTCTTACATACGTGACCGTATAAAACTCGGTGCCAGTTTGGTGCTAAGGATCTAAACTGAATGAAATTCTATCTTTACGCCCACTTTGAAACATGCGTAAAGGGCCTAGTTCTTCGCTATTGTGGAGAATTGAACCTTTACGTATGCTTTAAGGTATGCCTAAAGATTGGGTTTTGTGCAGTGCTAACTGTGGTGCTTTTATGGTGCTTACTGATATACATAGCTTCTATAATGGTGCCTAATGATGGTGCTGTTGGTAACGCAGCACTTGATGTCGATTCTTGGTGCCTTTTGGTGCTGGGTATGATGACCCTTTTGTTTTTGCGGCGGGGCCCAATTCGTATTGCTTAATCTAAGACATATGTAGATACTGTGAAGTTTCAGTAGCCATTGCTATTTTTGTTATGACGGTATATTCGATTCTAACTCATCATCATCACTACTAATGCACCATAAACAGTTACTCGAGCAACTGGATATGATTTTGGAAACGGTCAGACGTTTTCAGCTACCATCCACTACCTTTTGTCAATGACACTGGTGAGATATCAAAATCAGCAAGTTTTTGTAAACACAAACTGTTTATGTTATTGATATGTATCACTGACGAAAGGTAGTGAATGCTGTCTGAAACGTCTGACCGTTTTCAAAATCAGATTAGTTGTTTGAGTAACTGTTTTTGGCGTATCTTATTACCTGGATGTCTAACCGTCATTTACGTACCATCACTAATGACCTGACCTGTTCCGTTGATGACAAAAGGTGGGGCTGGCGGTGCCGGCGGTGCCGGTGGTGCCGGCGGTGCTGGAGGTGAGGTCGCTGGTTCTAATCCCATTAATCTTAATGTCATTGGTTCGAGTCTCAACTGACATCACTATAAGTAACATAATCATTCACCACTCATTCACTCACCATAACACTTCACTAGATACTAATACAAACATCAATAATTCTCTTTAATAATTGCACTTAATGTAAATAATTACCAATCACAAATAACCATCAATCAATAATTGTCTTCCAAGATCATTAACTTAATTCTAAAAGTACTTCTCAAAGAAAATTAACATTTGCAACTTGTTAAAGTTGCTGTGGTTCATCCAAATAACATCATCATCAAGACCACTAAACTAGCTCATCACGATTCTAACTAAATAGCATAATCCAGATCACCAGTTTACTAACTCATAACTGGTCCAACTAAATAACTTCACCAAGATCACCAATCTAACTTATGACGATTTTTACTAAATAATATTATAAAGATCACCAGTTTATGAACTCATAACTGGTCCAACTAAATAACATCACCAAGACCACCAAACTAACTCATAACTAGTCCAACTAAATAACTTCACCAAGATCACCAAACTAATTCTTGACGATTTTTACTAAATGACATTATCAAGATCACCAACTTACTAACTCATAACTAGTCCAACTAAATAACTTCACCAAGACCACCAAACTAACTCATAACTAGTCCAACTAAACAAAAAAACCGTCATAACATATGACAACTTGAATGTAGCAACAAAAAAGACAAATGTAACAAATGCCCTGCCCATCTCTAGCCTCAATGTTGACCAGCACAGTTACGCAGCAATCGACCGTCGTTCAGGAGGTGTCCGGTATGTATGGATATTAAATTGATAACCTTGCTTCATAATAAAACTATATGAGTCCATGATACGTACTCTCACTACAAGCGAATGATAATACATTAATTTTATGAGCAACTGACTAGGCCAGTGCCTGTTAAAATCCATTAATCCAATTGTAAGAACCCTAACGACTTAATTCTAGAGTGGGTGGTCCTGATGAAAACAAATACCATACTTATCATACACTAACATAAACAAAACGTGCTAAGTCAAGTTTGGAATGGTACATTGAAATGGTATCAAGACCTTACACTTGTAACTCCTCTTAAGTAATAAGACGGTCCACAATTTTCTTATGACACTTACTTAAGGCTGTTAATCCTTCGAGCAAAAAGATCAGTATCAATAAGAAAAGTGAACCACCAGGTACACTGAACAGCGTATAAGCAAGGTCTTTCCTAACCTTGATCGACAAACATGGACAAAACGATCCCTAAACGAGACAAGGACATAAAAGTTGCACCTAGAACTCCTTTCTAAACACCAATCATACACAATAACAGCAACTACACTATAAATGTTGACAAACTTGTCATTCTACAGTGTATAAGATTTGTGTAAGACCACAATGATATATTGCGGTAGTTGATTCAATATCATTTTTCCTTACTTGTGCCTTAGTTGTCTTCAGTTCATAGTCTGGGTGTTTGTTTCACTTCACATGGAAAATCTGTCTTCAGTTAGGCCTGATATTCCCTCCCCATCGCTTCGATTCGCTCTTTTTTTTCTGGCGCGTAAGAACACATACGTTGCAGACAGTGGTGGTGTGGTCTTGCTATGCAGCCTGTTTCCCTTCCTCTCTTCATAGATCAATACTCTGTGTATCACACACTGGCTGTATTCCAATATAAAAAAATAAGGTGGCCTGAAACCCTGAGCCTTTTCTAACCATGTTACTACAGCTGAAGGCGAGAAGCTACTCTTTGAATTTCATAGCAAGGAACTGGATTTGTCTGTCTATGGTCCTCCAGTTAGCCCCGGGCCTATTTCGCCCGGTAGCCCTGCGGTTGTTGTAAGCCCTTCTGGTACGTGTGCATTCTAAGGATTCTAAGGATTTTGGTCTTGATATAGATCTGCACTCCTTCAAGGCACAGCTTTCTTTTCCTTCCTTCCTTCCTTCCTCACCCCACAGGCTTTCCAATGCTCCTTGCAAGTCATTTTATTGCAAAGCAAAACCTCACCGTAGCTTCAATTCTTTGCGTGTTTTTTCCCACCCGGATCCGCACTCCCTGCTTTCACCAGTTTTACAGTTCACAGAAACCTAATATCCATGTAGAATGTTCAAACGCTTGCTTAAATCCAATCCTAATCCCCAATAATCCTTTGATACTAATGCCCTGACGTGTGCACTCCTGTAGATCAGAACTGACAAACCTTTCCTGCGAAGATATAGAAAACCTCAAGTGTGTTTCTTAATAAATCGTAGTTTTATCTGCTGTCTATTTTGACCCCCTGGTAGTGCTATCAGTGCCACTGTAGCTTTATATAGATAGTTCTTAGACAATCCCTTGCCTTAGCAATTTCTACTTAGTTTGCTTTCCCATTTTCTCCATATGTTCATATTTAATAGCATATGTTTTATTTGTGTGACTGATCAGTTCAAGGTTCCGGTGGGGCCAGTTATGGTGCCAGAGGAGCCGTTTCAACTACAACCACCGCCGCTAGTGGTGGTGAGATTGTCTTTAACCCTATTGTCTTTATTCCTTGTTTTTACTCATTTACCTATAGATAGATATAACGTTGACAGAATGGTTTAGAATAACTAAATGACCTGGTCTCATTACAATCTCATTGAGTGACTTTCTGTAGACTTTTTATCCTCAAGCCAAGACCGTTGATACCAATCACTGTACAAAATTCGGTCTTAAAGCAAATCTTAAAACATGCATAAAAGTTCCGTTTCTACATTCCAAGGAACACGGAACGTTTATGCATGGTTCAAGGTGTGTTTAAAGATCCGATTTTGTACAGTGAATGAAAGTATACACCACCTCATCTGCCCAATGATATGCTGCATACTATTTAATTGTTTCACTTTTTTGTTTTAATTTTTGTTGTATCGCTAATTAGTTGATGATTCCCGTGGTGCCAGTTATGGTGCTAGTGGATCCTATTCAACTACAACCTCCGTTGTTAGCGGTGAGAATTTTTCCAACTAAAATGTTTGCAATTTGATTTTTTATTTTACAATTATTTCTAACGTATTTTGGCAGAGTACCTTAAACACTTCCAACTCTAGTCATGTCACAACGTAAAGTGACTCATTGACTCACTTTATAATTTTTGCTGCTTACTAAAAATACCTTATATACTTAACGTTACTTTGTGCTACTTTGTTTTGTCTGCTCTAATATGCCAGCACTATCAGCCATCTGATATAGTACCTGTAGTGACCTTTAATTACTAGTCTATTAACTGTAACCTTCATTTCTATCCTCAAAGCCTCTGGTGCCATCCAAGGTGCCAGCGGGGCAGTTTCGACTTCTACCACTAGTGGTAAGGCCTAAACCTTCAAATCCTCTAGAGAAATGTTTCCTTCAAAGCGCAGTGTATTTGCTGATGTCTATATTGGGGCACCAGGCTTGCATTGATAGGTCCCACAGGGTACAATTATCCCATTTTAATGTAGCTGACATAATTACCAGGGCCATGGGTGTGAAAGATTTTGTGGTATGTCACATATGTTTGACTGTATCAACGTTTTGTAATCGTGTCTTCTCATCAAAAATGGCAGAAAAGAATGGACATTTTCGAACATATACTACTTATACAGGATGTGTACAGTTTATATGTCAAACAAATTTTTGTAAGTCACGTCCCAGAGAGCCAATGTCACAAAATAGTGACCTTGGATGACCTTGATTTGTCCTTGTGTGGCATCACCTGCACTTTCCGTCCCAAACTCGCTTTCTTTAAATCATTTTTCATGCATTTTACTGCTTATACATGTATGCACAAATGTGCTTCAAGCTTCAAATGAGCGTGCCCCCCTCCCCCTTTAAAACTCACATAAACGTACCTCAGCACCAAGCATTAAAAATGCCCCCCTCCCCCAATGTCACTGCAAGCATATGTTATGCACAGCACCATAGCTTTACCATGCATAAATGAATAATTAAATGTAAGATTCAATATCAGCAACATAATCCAAAGTTACAGAAACTTGGCACCAAGCATAATGCGCAATGCCCCCCTCCCCCATCACCGTGTTACAGGCAAGCACAATACTTTTAAGGCACAGCACTACGACTTTATATCATGTGATATACACAACATATAACCACCTACCCCTTCCCTGTAAACATTGTAGGTGCCTTTGGTGCCGGTGGTGCCTCGGGTGCCCTGTCGGCTTCAGCGTCTGGTAAGAATATATTGTGTATCCCGTTATTATATCTTATACATGAACATACACTTCACCATACATGAAGGGGTTACCAAAATCTACAAGCAGATATAAGGAGGTGGGTTGTGTGGCGTTTCGGCAGAGCATTCGGCTCAGAACCAAGAGGTCCCGGGTTCGAATCCTGCCAAGTCACCAACCCTGTGCCCTTGAGAAAGGCACTTTACATTACATTCCTCATTTCGCTCAGGTGAAAATGAATATGCCAGAATGATCATTATCATGATCGTGGGCATTAAATGAAAACGGAACCAGTCCAAACCAAGGCTCAGACTTATTCTTAGTGTTTTACTACATTTATTGCTTTTTTTGGTATTACACATTTAGTAGGAGTTAACAAAAGTGCAATATCAGTAAAAGAGTACTGAATTGTGCAGAAATAGGCGTGAAATTAACACAGAGAATGAGGCGAATTCTTATATCTGCTTGGAGACTAGTTGTCATTGACGTTTAGTGTGATAATATCACATCAGCATGGTTCAAAAGCAGGTAGTGTTTCCTGCTTTGAATGAATCAGATTGTGTTTTGGTGTTGGGTTGTGCTTTGAGTATGGCAATGACAGACTATATGCAGTTTGTTTTCCCCTAGATACTTTTCTTTGGTAAAGGTAGCCACAGATTGCGAGCGGTGCATTCGTGAATGTGCAGGACATCAGTAATAAATCTTTGCTGAAAAAAAATGTCTTCAAAACCGCGGGATTTCGTGAGCAGTGTTATAACGTCTGTTGTGCTATGGAACTATAAAGAAACTAGCTCGATTCTATGACAAGAATTCTTATCTCAATGATAGCATACAATAGCGCTTCAATCTCTATCCGTACGGCTTTATACAGGGGAAGCGTTGGTTAAATGATACGATGGCCCCTGTTTTCAAGTTTTGGAAAAGCCTTGAAGAGTTCATGCTCATACTACAATGTGCATATACGTGTTAGCAAACATAGCTTGTATTCGAGCTCTCATTCGAATATATGCTGTCATTTTACACCACACATACAACTGCTCAAAGTCCTATCTTTAAGTATAGCTTGAAGCATATACGAACATGTACGTTAAGGCTCAAATTTGTTTCACCAGTGTGAAGGAATCTTTACGTAGGCTTTAAGATGTGCTCAGATATTGAATCTCATGCATAACGTCTGCATAACGTCTCCATTTTCCATTTGAATGAAGAAACAGAGCCTTTACGCATGTTTTACAGTGTTGCTTAAAGCTTTCGTGTTAGTACTGTTGTTGACTTGTTTACCTATCCTTCAGGCGAGGCGAGTAGGAGGAAGAGTGGTTTCGTCAGGATGACCTTCAAGGCTGACGACATCCGCACCATCCTCATGCGCTACGCCTTCCACATGACCTTCCGCCTGTCCAACATGGCGCTGACGGAGCGTGGAGGCAAGCTGTACCTGGAGGAGAAGAGGGCAGAAATCACGTATGTACAGAACTGATGACGTTCTCACAATTCTTATAGATGCGTAGTATTCAGATAAACAGATAAACTCTTTTCAATCTCACAGATGCAGAGAGACACAGACACAGACACACACACACACACACACACACACACAAAGAGAGAGAGACGGAGAGAGGGGGTGCCAAATAGATTGACAGAGACAGATCGATAGAAAGAGACGAATACATACAGGGAGACACAGAGAACGAGAGAGATACAAACACACAGAGAGAAAGAGAGAGGGGGGAGGATGCCAGATAGATTGACAGAGATAGATCGATAGAAAGAGAAAAGCAATCTGACATCAATGCAGATACAGCGAGAGGGGCAGGAAGAAAAAAAAGAATGATGGACAGAAATACAGAAGAAGACACAAAGACAGAAAGAGAGAGAGTTGAAGACCAAATAAACAGAGACGACAGAAAGACAGATGAGAAAGACCAGATGAGAAAATGAGAAAGTGTCGAACAAAAATACATACAGGGAGATGGGGCAAAATGAGAACAGAGAGGGGGACAAAGAGAGAGAGGGGGGAGAGATTGATACTGTATTTAACGATAACAACGTCAGAGCAAAGTGATTATTAACCCTACTTTGTGTATTACAGGGACGACCAGCTGTGGAATCTGAAGGATGATACCATCATCAGCAAGTCGGGCAACATGGCCCTGGAAGTGTCCGGAGGACAGGCAAGGAAGAACGCAGAAGTCACACTGGCGAGGACGTCAGGGTCCACGGCTCAAAAGTGGGGGGTAAGGATCATGATAATTATATTTGAATGAGATGAAGTTAGGTATAGATGCTTGTCTTTGACGTATGACTTAGAGTAATCATAATTAAAATGCCTAGTGACCATGTTAACACCCTGCAACACATTCATGCCCCCTCCCCCTAAATTTGTTCCCAAACACCAGCCAACCAGGTTCGGATAACGTTCGAGAGCACTCTGCCACGCCCACATCTCTATGGGAATCGAAGCGAATTTGAGTTAAGTTTGAGGTCAATTTGACCCCTGAACACGCACTTACCATATGCACACTAGTACTGTAATCCAATCATGCCTGTATTAGCAAGCTGTTCTAAGACTTACGTCTTTTCAACTTCAGATTGGCGCGGATGGCCTTCTGACAACCGAGCTCGGCAACCTGGTTCTAGACGTGAAGGACGGCAAACTGGTGTTGAACGATCGCGACAAGCTGAGCCGCCAGGACTGGGACCTGCAGATCCACCAGTAAACACCCGCTATGTCAACACAGCGATCCCAGCAGTCACCGCGGCTAGTCACGTGACGAGAGAAACCTACCATAGGTCATAGGTCAAACTTAGAAAAGCAAAATGGCGCCAGTAGATCAGTATCCACACAAGGATTTGATTTTTTTAGAACCTGATAAAAAAATTATCGTAAGAATAAGGTGACTATTCCGGGGGGCAAAGTGAAAGGTGTAAGAATTATATGAGCAAAGTAAACGGTGACATTTTGGACTGGCTGTGTTAATTCGGTGATAACCTGCAGTTATGTTGCTATTTTTTTAAATCTTCATTCTACGGTATATTGCATTCAAAAGATAGATTGTTTCAAAATTTCATACGGTGCAACTTTGGTGTTACTCTCAGAAAGAATGTGATATGATATGAATTGATATGGCTAAATTTGTCAAGCTGTGGTGTTATATCAGAAATATTTGTCATTGTTGCTAACAAAGCACATGTTAAGATAATAATATTCAATTTGAGCAAAACAAAATGATACGTGCCTTATAAGCACCCGTTTCGGAATGAATAGCAATAAAATATGGTTACGGGAACGACTATTTGTCTGTGCTTTTTATCTGAGTAGATACAATATTAAGCAGTCAACTTCTTTGACCTTTACTTATCAGAATCTTTTAATAGATATAAAATAATATTACTGAAATATGAGAGTACTAGATAGATAGTGATAATAATAATATAGATACATCTACAGTCCATAGATTTGAAATGATTCCGGAAGATTCGAGGACCACTTCTCAAATAGTGAAGTACAGAACAGGGTCGACTGAGACATAGGTCCGTACGAAGATCTCCTAACCACAGTAAAGAAGCGGAGACTGAAGTGGTATGTCCACGTGTCACAGTCATCAGGACTAGCCAAAACCATCATGCAAGGAACAGTACAAGGAGGAAGAACGAGGGATAGGCAACAGAAAAGATGGGCTGATAATATCAGAGAATGCACGACACTATGTGAAGCGTTGAAACAAACAAAAAAACGAGAAAAGTGATGAAAACTTAAGTTGTTAGATCTTCTGTGGTGTCAAAAGGTCAAGTAATAACTGATAGAAGAGATGAGATAGATAGTAGGGTAAATACTAAATTGCAATGCTACTAGATTGATTCTGAGATTTCTACTGAAACATAAAGACACTACAGAAATATATAGTGCAGATATATGTTAGCTAGATAGATGGTTACACAGTATCAATATGCACAGTATATAGTAACATCGAAGATGAATATAAACTGGACCGTTTTGACATATACAGTCTAAGATCTTCCATCGTGTTACTCTAAACACTTGTTGCTCAAAGTGACACAATCTAACACCTTGTAAAATCCCCACAAGTGGACAACATATAGCCAACTGAGCTAACTATTGACCTCCAAACTGTCATGTTAATATATTCAGCTTTACAAGCAAATGCACAAAAGGAATCTTCAAACGTGTTCAATTTTACCTGCGGGCACCGCATGTAACTTAGCAACCGAGCAACGTAAGTCAGATTTAATTGGCCCTAGGTTTAACACACCAAAAGTAACAGGTAGTTTTAACAACATAAAGCTATGAATTGCAACACGCGAACACTAAAAAACTACAGGTATGTGCTTCATTCCAAGGGGCACAAAATTAAGTCGTTAAAAAGTGAGTTCTTAAGGTCTCACTATCTCGTGATGAGGGGTACTTAAAAGGGGCGTAACCCACTTCGGCTGATGCAACCCTTCCAGAAGACACCGTCTATTCATCCGATCTATTGTCATTTGTTCACCGTGCCATACAAAAATAATTAACGTCAGTGCACAGTACATTACACCACATCAGACAATCATATCTTTGTCTCTTTAAAACATGTATTTAAAAGTTGTCTTTAAAAAACATATGCCATATCACTCAGCGGGTAAGCAGCCTTGATTTTTAAAGGTCTTTGGTTGGTAGGGTTTCTTTCAAATGGGTATCAGTTTTTAAGTGGCACATTTAGAAACGCAGACTTTGTTAAACATATACATCGGGACATTACACGAGGGGGTGTGTCCATACAGGTGACTGGTACAGGATAGGCGTTGACGTAGGTCGAGGACGACAAAAAAACGTCTATACTCGACGTGACGAGACAAAACTCGTCTACTCACGTAACAGGGATCATCTATCCGCCACCTTGAAAAAAATACATCTATAAAGAGATCTCAAATACAACTTCCCCAGTAAAGTGCACTACTGCATATTTTCCTGTACAGTGTAGTACTAGTAAAGATAGGACAATATTTCAAAGATCTAGACGCTAGAAATTCCACCAATAATTTGAAAAAAAAAACATTTTCATCCCATATACTATAAATGTATCTTGTAAGGTAAATTAGTCTCTTACTAATATCATGAAAGTTCATCTGTGATGGTAGTAAACATAGTAAAATGATTGTACTTGTGTAGGAATTTAGTTGAGCATTGTACTATGGTCTCTTACTGTGTTATACAGCAAAAAAATTATTATATGTCTAAAATGTGCCCTGTAGATGTGTAGCTGCGGTAGAGATCTCTCAAACAAACTGTGTCTCAATGTGAATGATATATGTAACCCTGCACGTATGTTATAATGGGTATATCCGGTGTTTGACCTTCTATGAGTCAAGATACCAGTCCCACCCTAAATGCCATTATTTAACGCTAATTTGCCTTCAAAAAGTGACCTTCTACAAGGGTACAGAACTGATTGGTCGAGAATAATCACACTATCTCAATGTTATTGACCCGTAAGTTTGGACATTTAGCTTCATCAATGGCAGAAGAAAAGGCATTAATCGAAGGTTAAGTGCCAGATTGGAAGATTATTGTGCAAAGAATGGGAAAGCCGTTATTGTGATATTAATGATTATTGTGATATCAGAGATTTGTACAGAAAAACGACCTGATATCTACCTTCTGTTGCCTCACTACAGAAATTTATTCGTTTTTTTGCTTGTGTATCCTACCAAAACTTCGCAACTATTCAGTCGAATTTTTCCACTAGTACCGACCTTGCCGGAGAAGGGGGAGGGGGGCGACGTGTGCTTCGAGAACATTCTGAGCTCGTGTATCAAACATGACGACTGCGCATGCGTATACAGCCCTTCCCTTTAAAATTCAAATAGTACCTGCCGCCATTTGCGTCAGAAACAAATGGCCACAAGCTGTCGACTATCCTGGACTGACAAGAAAAAAAAAAGATGGCCGCCCTTGTTTTGATTTATAACTGCCTTTGATGTTTCACTCACGGCCCATTTGCTTTCTCAAATGTCAGACATCTTGATTCTGTGTCTTTTGATCCTTTAAGTATACTTCGGAACTTTAATTCTTTGCCCCAAGTCTTATTTAAGTACATCAAGTTTTAGGTAGTATCCAGCCAATTTTCTAATAAACACCACTCTTCTATGTGTGAAGAATTTGTTATTTTTCTGGTATCATTATCATCGTTAATTGTGTTAAACCGAGATCTACATATCATAGATCGAGTTAATGTAATCTAGTAATGCTAGTTTTGTTTCTCTTGACTGAAACCAGTGCTTGAGAGGCATAAGAGCCCAAATGTGATTAGTACCAAAATGTTCATGTGATTTAGGCAACGTGTGAATGTTGCGTTTTACTATATATAGTGTTCGATAATGACCTAAAAGTGACACTGTCTCGCTATTTTACAGCTATTTTAAGATTTATAGCTTGTATCATTTAATGTACCTCTTGATACAACCTGTGTCTTTTTATTATTGTTATACCCTTTCATTGTGTTCATAACACAGCCACAGCCACACACACACTCACACACACACACACACTCACACACTCAGATACACAGTCACACACACACTCAGATACGCACACACACAGATACACACACAGATACATACACATTATTCTAAGAATTGATCTAGCCGACGATAGTCTCTGTAGAAAGTGTTGCCTTTATTGAATGAGCACCCGATGCGAAATCCTTTTTCCCGTTAGAGCTTCATACAGCAACAAGTCAAACAGCTATTACATTCTAGTAGTCTTACACCAAAGCCGCCCCATACATAAAACACATCGTAAACATTACCATACATCTTAAACATCATCATGTTATTAAATCCTACACAAGGTACCAAACCGATTCATACGCCTTTCTTACAGTTAAAATAGCTGTGCTAATTGTGGTACCAAGGAGCGTTACATTGCATCAGTAAGTTACTTCGGTGCATAGAAGCATTGCATTCAAATCAGCGAGTCAAAAGCCTTGTGGGCGTTACAAAATAGTGTCTTGAAAGAGTAATCAAATACACTGTCACCGACTATGGTCCTCTTTTTTTTTGGTAGTTTTGTATCAACTGCTAGAGTCGAAACTTAAGACAGACAAAGCCGTTGAAAGAATCTATGCATTCGTGTAACTTGTTAAGTTCTGTAGCTAATTTGCATAATATATTTATTAATCTTTGCCTTACAATAGATTTTAGACAATAAAAGCTTTGCCGATCACCTTTTTGAAAGTAGACACCGAATGAGCATAGAAAATAAATGGATTAAAAGATAGAATGCGAGTGTTTTTGGAGATCTACTTTTCTCTTAAGGCGGCATCTTCCCTGCCACTGAATGAAATTCTTTTTCTTAAGGCTTTGCAGGACTTAGTGTTGGAATCATCCTCGCTTTTTGTTGTTGGCATCGTCACCACTCGTTGTGTCTCAGTCTGTGGAAAGAAAGAAAAAGTACATCTTCAGAAATTGTTCTCTGTAGTGATGACTTTTAAAACTGAGACAATTTCGTCTTTCTTTTTTTCACAATAGTATTATTTTCTTCTCAAAAGAAAGTGGTCCATGCTCACACAGCATGACATTGCTTGTAACCAAATGATAAGAATGTGGCAAAAAATCCGCACAACCACATGCGCATGGTGAAAAGAAGGAAAAACCAAGCGTGATTTCAGCGTGCAAAACTCTACTCCTAAACTACTGGCTATAATGCTGAGCAAAACAAACAATTAGGACTTCAGACACACTTGAGAAGTGTTAGAATATAACACAAAATGGTTTTTGAGCCCCTTGTAGTTTGTTTCTCTTCCCTCCCCCTTTATTGAAATTTCGAGACAAGATCTCGTCTTTTCTCGCCAAATCTCGCGGGACTTCTAAAAACTTTTCTACGTGTGTCTGAAGCCCTGCATTGTGTGTTGAGCCATGCCTGCTGCGATGCACACAGATCGTGATGCCTCGAATCCCTCCTCTTTGAATCAAAGAAAAAAATATGTTCCGCGTAGCCCAAATGTCACAAAAGGCTGGGCTACTACAACTGTGTTCTTTCGACTTCGTTGTTTGGTCGTGTTGCACACAAGAGCGGCACAGCAAACGTGCAAACACACATAAAAAGTGTGACATTCACTGCTCAAAATCCGATCTTAAAGCATACCTTAAAGCATGCGTAAAGGTTCCATTTTCCTCTCGAGAAACAGAACACTTTACGTTTTGCTTAAAGATCACATTTCTCGCAGTGGTATTTTTTTTTCTCGTGAAACGTGCGTAAGATGGAATGGTGGCAGAAATCGTGACAGAAAGGATGACCAGAAGGAGGAATTTGTCCTCATCTGAAGTGTGCACATCACACAAAGGAAGAGAAAACAGAGCTTTTGTATGCAAACCTTCACCATTGCCTTAATAAGAGGTGGACTTGCTGCTGTAGCTGTACGAAGTGGTAACGGTGGAAGTGGATGCTAGATAACATGAAGCAAATACAATACGTACAAGCGTTACATTGCTGTTTTGTGGGATGATATTCGTCCATCGACGATATGGATGGAGAATGATGAAATGATGCCGTAATGATGGCATAATGGATGAATGGATGGATAGAGGGAGGGATGGATGGGTGCATGAAGGAGGGATAGGCAAAGGGTGACGTTGGAAATGAGGGGGATAGGTGAATAAAATAACAAGTTAACAAACACCGTGCACTAACGTTGTGGCATACTCCTGCATAGCATGCAAAAAAAATGTAGCATGCAAACGTAAAATGCACATCACCAACCTATATCGTTGGTGCATTCAAAAAAATGAAACGCTTTTGCGTAGTCAAATACCCACTCACCACGACTTGAAAGTTTTTTGACCCTCACTGATCTGGCTATTGTGTTGCATTAAAAAAATTACATTGGAAACAGTTCGGTTACTACACGGGTAAAAATTATGTAACATCTTGGTCATTCAAAAAAGGGGACCATGCATATTCTATATGTCTCACATGCAACAAGATTCGCCCCCCTCCCTATCTTGAAATATCAAAAGATCTCATCTATTCTCGCAAAATCTCGCGAGGTTTCTGCAAATCACACATTACAGAGAGGTAAAAACGTGTCATCTGTTGTACTTACACCGGAGGGTCTCGGCGGAGGCAAGACCGTGAATCTCCAGGTCCCACACCTGCAAAACAAAAGCCATAAATATCACTCACATATCGCAAATTTCACATACACAATTCAAGTAAATGTTACAGTAAAACTGTTGTATTCTTCTGGCAGATACGTTGCATACTTTGAGTCTGATTTAGCCCACATTGATTAACATCAATAACAAAAGTTCACTTGGATGGTTCTTTACCAAATTTCCTTTATGAGAACTAGTTGGCTGGATGATTAGTTAATGAGTTGAGTAGAATAACTAATTGAAACTTACAGCATCGTCGTGCCTGTTGTTCAGCACCACCTTAGATTTCGACTTCACGTCCAGGACCTTGCTGCTTGACTTGGAGCCAATGAATCCATCTCCCTTAATCTGAAAAAAAATAATATGACATTTAATCATAAGCTACAAAAACTTAAAAGAAACAATGAGGGTGGTAACACAATCAAACCATCCGATCTTTTAACTCCATGATCAAACATACAGCTATCTTGAATTGCCCAAACAGTTCTCGTCTATTCACGTCAAATCTCGCGTTATCCGTCCACTCCCGGTTCTTCAACTCTTGACCTTGAGATCACGTCAGTTCACGCTAAGTCTCGCGTTACTTACGTCCCACTCCTGGGCCTTGTTTCCGCCTGAGGCCTGGTCAGCAACGATCACCTTGTCTCCCTTCACCTCCAGGGCCAGGTTGTTGGCCTCGTTGATGATCCTGTCGCGGCTGAAAGACCACAGCTGCTCCTTCCTGCAAGTCGAGAAAAAAATTTGATTAGCCGCCATTTTGAAATTCCCAGTAGCGTTTGCACCCGGTGTTGATTTCCTTTATTATGTCCTCAACCAAAGAAGTAGATAAAGAGTATGTGAAATTTGATACCAAAATCTCTATACCACTATAACTTATATATAAGTATCAGTCCCTTCGCATCTACGAAGATCTCGCCTGTTCACGTTAAATCTCGCGTTAACTTACTTCTCGGGGTAGGACCTCTTGGCCACGTTGATCTCGGAGCCCTTGCCGCCAGCCGCCTGCAGGACCAGATCATCCTTGCGGTAGATGAGATAGAAGCTCTTTCCCGCCAGGATGCCCATGATGTCCTGGCTCTCGATGGTCAGTGTGACTTCACTCCCAGCATGCATGTCTGGTACAACGAAGTAAAGATATATCAAACCCCTGTTTCGAAATCTACTAATGCTATGCGATGATTTGCTTGGCTTTTTCTAGCCTGGTATCCATCCTGATGTAGCTCCGATCCTCACCAATTAAAGGAGCAAACCGGAGCTAAAACAATACGGATACAAGGCTGTTTTTTCATCTTTAAGTGTATGATCACCTCCCCCTCACCGCTTCCCAACACCGCTGCATACGCTGTTGATGTGACATTCGATAGTAATACATATAGGATATAGGTATCGTTTAACGCGGCACCGTTCCCATTTTCCCCGGCACCATGTTCATGGTTTACCGACGGCATGTCGGTTTACGTACCACCGTAGCCGGAGGAGGCACCACCGGCACCACCGCCTGCTGTTTACAACACAGTTGGTTTTAATGACAAGTTCACAAACAACAAACAAACAAACAAACACTGACTGTTAGAACGTTTTACACACGACAACATTACACGTTAAAACATAGCAAGAAAAGCACGAAATCAACGTCGTAAGGTAGTTTAGGATTAGAGGTTTAATTCTGTTAGAATCACTGCGTGAAATTCTATTTTTACGCACAACTTAAAGCATGCGTTAAAATTCTTCCTTCTTTGAGTGGAACCTTTACGCACGCTTTAAGGTATGCTTAAAGATAGTACTTCGAGCAGTGAATGTATCAGTAACGTATTAAAGACTTGGAGTCAGTGTCAAGAATACTTACCGCCTCCGGCCCCAAAGCTACCGGCACCACCTCCGGCACCGTAGCCCGAGGAACCACCTTTCATGTGTCAGTCAACAAAAGTTATCAACAAAACGTCAAAGAAAGAAACACAAAGGTTAAGAAACAGATAATAACAATAGTAAACGTCGTTATACAGAATAGAAACACAAGAGTGCTATTGCTAGTGAGTAAAACGAAGGAACAAGGTGCTACGTTATAAATGGACAATGGATGGACGAACAGCAATTCCAGACGTCAACAAAAACACAACAGAACGAGAACAAACACAAGTAAAACTTACACAAGGGTTGAAAAGTCAATCAGAAGGAAGAAACGTAAGCATACACATCGAAACGGGGTTTCTCAAATGTTAATTACGTTTATAATGAAAAGTTGCAATCTTACCAGCGCTGCTGCTGACAGTCTGACTCATGCTCTTGGTCTGGGACATGCCACCACCACCGCCGCCGCCGATGCTCAGGGAGGAACTCATGCTTGAAAAGTCAAAGTGACCCAGCCTGTGAAAGCAAACGGACAATGACTTTAGTTAAGAGACAATAACATCAATTGTAAAGATTCAATTCTATATGTATATGATTACCCATTACTACACATTTGTGGTGAAGAATGCAAAACTTTTTTCTCGAGAAAAAACTCTCAAAAACGTTCAGTTTGCATTGTATTAACAAGAAAAACATCTTATTAACAAGAAAACTTTTAGTTTGCATCGAATTAAAAAGAGTTTTTATTCTAATACAAAACGTGTCTCTTGAAGCAAACGTTCAGAATCAAGTGGAAACTACAACTATGATGGCGCCGAAAGATAGACCACACAACCGGAAGTACGTCACAGAAAGACCACACAACCGGAAGTACGTCATGGTTACCTGTCCTCCTCGTTCTCCAGCAGCTTCCTGTAGGCGGCGATCTCCACGTCCAGCGCCATCTTGACGTTGTGCAGTTCCTGGTACTCCCGCATCTGCTTGCTGATCTCACCGCGCAGACGCTGCAGCTCGGCCTCCAGCTCATCAATCTCCTTCTGCTTGTCGGCAAGCTTCTTCGCTCCGCCCTCTTCAACGTTCTTCAGCTGCTCTTCCAGTTGGCGGTTCTACAAGACAAGATATTCGTGAATATTTTCATCAGGTTGTTGAATGATTAAACAGAAAAGTTCTTTACTCACAACCACTTTGTTTTAACACGAGTCATCGTTTCGATGACCGTCTGCCTTCCTCATCAGGGCTATCATCAGTCATGAAGATGTGGTTGTGAATAAAGATATTCAAGAAGGAAGATAGTATGCGATGCAGTGCTCGAGTAACTAGCATAAGACAGCGTTTAGCTTATGATAAAAACCAGACACACCTAGAGTGAAGTCTATCAGGGCTTCCAAGCCATTGCCTTCACTTGTTGCAACTTTATGAGATGAAGTGACCAGTGTTTAAGTAAGTTGTTGGTTTAGATTTTATGTAGGGAACTTTATCAATAGTTAAAACGTGATTATAGTTCTATTTTCATGCAAAAATTAAAATTAATCTCATCTGTCATGAATGATACACGTTGTTTCTTGTCTTACCCTGTTCTTCATCTGTTCGATCTCAGACTGTAGCCTGGCGATCTGGTTCTGGTACCTGGACAGCTCCGCGCGCGCGTCTGCGAGGTCGTTGCTGTTCTTCCCGGAGCTCCTCTGCAAGTCCTCAAACTGGAGATAAAGAAGATAGAATGCATAAAATAACAGGAACAAACAAAAGAATGACCAGTATTTCTGTTGTAAATATGATGCTTAAAGATACTGTTAGACATAATGTAAGAAGCAAGCCGAGGCTTTTAAATGTGGACACTGTTTTCATGAATTTCTACAGCAGTAACGACTTTCCAGAACATCACACCCTTGTCCAGTCACATGACCTGGGTGACCTTTGACTCTCATGTCACGTGACTACCCTTCTGAGCTGAAGAAAGATGGCGAATGTCTTTTGAAAGATTTTCAGGCTGAACATTTTAGTTTAGGCAAGGAGGTTAGATATACTAAGTACCTCCTTGGTTTAATGTTTTCAAAGAATATTAATGGGTTTGAGCTCACCTTGGTCGCATACCAGCTCTCTGCTTCCGCCTTGCTCATGCGCGTGAGCTGCTCGTACTGAGCCTTGACCTCTGCCAGGCAGGAGTCAAGGTCAACATCCGGGGCACTGGTCGGCTCCAGCTCGATCATGGTGGAGTCCAGGATCTGGGCGTTCATGGCCTCGAGTTCCTGTTGAGATGAGACAAGCAGATTATTTACAATGTATACCGCCGTGTTATACATGTAACAATCACTAATAATTGTAGAACCTATCATTGCTACATAAGCCTTGAAAAGACACAATAGAAACAGCAGTTGGCTTGTTTTATGGAGATGATTCTTTAATACATAATGATTACTATATTCAGCACTTAAGCAATTTTTAAAGATATGCAAGAACAAGGATGGTCGTTGATGGACATTTATCCATCTTTTTAGTTAGTTACGTATTATTTTGGTGGCGGTATGAAATTGAGTCAACAAATTGCGCGTGTTGCCACCAATGAATGTAGCATTTACAAAAGAAGTACATGTAGAGAAAAGATACTTACAGCAGCGTACACTTCCTTCAAGAACTCGATCTCTGACTTGATGCTGTCTAGACGAGCCTCAAGGTCAACCCGGGTCAAGGAGGCCTCATCAAAGTCCTGAAAAACAGACACACATACATAAGAATATGCTGCATCCATTTTATCCAATTTAAGTTTTACTAAACTCTTTCACAGCCTCAAAACCATATCTAAAAGCATACGTATGGGTTCCATTGTTTCCAGTCGAGTGAAAAACCTTAACGCATACTTTACTGTTTGCTTAAAGATAATTACATGCACTTTTAGAAGAAAACCCACTGATAATGCTTACTAATTACATTTACTACAAGATATACCAACTTTTTTTCTTTCATTTGGTCTTTGGAACAAAGCATTGTTGGTCAGGAGTAATTTGCATAAAGAATCGCTGTTTTGGGTGCTCACTTCCTTTGATGACGTCATGTCTATTTTGACCTCATTTATTATTCCACCCGGCCAACACAGGTGAGAGAAGTTTCTGCATAATTTATGAGGTCCTCTCCCGTATGACTCTTTGTGAAAAGAGCTTGCTTTGCTGTAGCCACGCAACCTCTAATTATCCTTCAACCCCCATCTTCAGATAAACTATATAGTGCCCTTTTATAGAGGCCACTTTCCCCATAGTGAAAGTTCTTAACTCACCGCTCTGATCTTCTTGATCTCTTCTTCCAGACCCTCACGAGTTCCCACCTCATCTTCGTACCTGGAAGAAGCAGAAATAAGAAATAGGTTTAAGTAAATTGAATCTCAAAGGAACAGACTATGCACATGCATCGCTATATGTGGAAAATAGGAAAGTATACTACGATTGGTATCTATCTTGTTTATGATTTTAAGTGGTTAAACAGTACGTTTCATTAAAAAGTCAATGGTTTATGTCAATGGCTACTGAATTCTTTATTGTGAATGTTAGATACGGACAAAGTATGAAAGTATAACATTTTGCTATTTTCAGTACAGCACATCTACCTAACATGATATCTAAATGTTCATTATGCAAGTCACGTTAGTAGTGTCTTCATTTGAATAATTCATTATTGAAAGAAGCTACTTCAGTACTGTCACCGGGGTGTTTAAGATCTCTTAAGAGCTAACGAAACGCGTTCTGACACTTCGGTGACCGGAACGATTCAGAAGCTTTGTAAAGACGGGGTCACCCGAACGTACCGAAGCTAACTTCTATTCTTTGTACTTCGTTTCTCCATTTTAGGACTCTCTTTTGTCCCATTTTTAAAGAGCTGCTGGTTGTGTACGCTTGCGGGGTGAGTTAGGGTGGGTTTAAAGGGGCTGATTGGAAGAAAAGCCCGTGCTGTCTTTGATTAGAAAACCCCGTAGAATGTCGAAGGTACCGAGCAGAAAGGAATGTCCGGCGTACTGGACAAACCGGTTCTACCGCATGTCATGCGCGCTGCTTCGGCCCGGCATAAGTCAACCGGCACGCCGTTTTAACTAGAAAAAACTCTCAACCAGCTGTACATTTTAATCCCTTAAACTTCTTTTCTCTTTTGCCACAGAAATTCATTCAATTAAAAGTAAACCTAGTGAAGTCTACCTAACTCAATTTTCCATAATGCAGTTTGGACTAAACGAACCAAATCAGGGCAACATTCTTTGAGTTTGCCCCAAGATTGTTTTTGGTAAACTTAGCAAGCTTGAAATCGTTGGCAATTTTGTACAGTGGCTACCAGTATTCTTCAGTTACTGAAACTGGTGTTTAAGTTTCTACCACGTTAAAAGACAGTCAGTCTTAGAACTTTGGAGCGTTTAATTTTTGTATGAAAGGTCTTCAACTCAACAATGAAATAGATATTTTGCTTTGGGGGTTGGTAGTTTGTAAGTAAAGACTTGAGCTAGAAGATACATGGCGACATGGGTTGTAAGCTTGCACAGAAAGGTCATTCTTTTACACGCCCTCTTCGGGCCAATCAAAAATGGCGGACACCCCTGTTCCGCACATTCCTGAACTTTTCAGCTCCCAGCATGCATGACAAAGGCGCACGCCCACACGGCAGTTTACGTTTCCTTTCCCCTCCTTTTCCTCAGGAATGCGCTGTTCATTTGAGTTTTGAAGGACAAGATTATTCAGGTGTGGTTTCTTTCCGGTAACAGGAAGGAAAACAAGAAGTGGGTTCGACTTGAATACTTGTCTGACATGGTGTCAAATATTTTGAAAAAAAAAATCTAAAAAGAG